GACATCTAGAGTGCTACTCTCTATTCTCTATTGGCATGGCTATAAATTATAAAATTACAATCAATTGTATATTCTTTTCGACGTTCAATAAAAGCAAGCAGTTTGAATTCAGTTTTTTTAGTTCCGTTGTCCGTGGGCGTGCCTATAATTCGCTCGACAAAGTAAAACAGTTAAAAATATTGTTTAAGGTTCCTTAGCTATATTTCGAATTGAAACAGTATATTATATAGCTATCGGTGTGACTTTTCTACTGAATTTCATATCTGATGGTAGGATACTAAATTGATGTAAATTGATGTAAATGAGGGTTAAAAAATTTAATAACTACAAATGAAGTAAAATATGAAAATCCATAAAATAAATTCATGGTTAACATTGAAATTTTTCTCACCATTTCATCTGCTAATAAATTTTCGATATTAATGATGAAGATGAAAATAAGAGCTTAATGATATATATTGCCACGCTAAACACGCTACTTAATGAGATGTGGCACTGCAGGTATGAAGGGCAGTGGTATGACGATACTGAATGAGATGTGGCACTACAGGTATGAAGGGCGGTGGTATGACGTTACTAAATGAGATGTGGCACTGCAGGTATGAAAGGCAGTGGTATGACGATACTAAATGAGATGTGGCACTGCAGGTATGAATGTAGAGAACACGGACCAATATCTGCCATACTTAGCGAGAAACCCGCTATGGGCCCGTGACCCGCAGTGGGCTCGCTGCCCCATGTTACCCTATTCTAAATTGAACCTGTGTATTATACCCCTATCGGTGTAACTTTTCTACTGAATTTCATATCTGATGGCAGGATATTAAATTGATGTAAATAAGGGCATTCGATTCAAGTTTGCTGGATTAACGGTTGAGATCATTTAATCCTCATGAATGTAAAGCAAATCGTAAAAAGTGAAAATGAATTTTAAAAGAAGAATGGTTGCTCAGTACTTTTTAAGGAATGATAAGAGGCTAACGTTCCATGTAAGTGGAATGTGCATCAAATTTTATTTTAATAGTTAGAAAATTAAGTAAAATATGATAATTCATAAATTAAATTCATGGTTATCATTGAAAATTTTCGCACCATCTTATCTGCTAATAAATTTTCAATTTGAACCTTGAATATACAAATAAGAGCTTAATGGTATATATTGCCACGCTTAACACGCTACTAAATGAGATGTGGCACTGCTGGTATGAAGGGCAGTGGTATGACGCTACTAAATGAGATGTGGCACTGCAAGTATGAAGGGCAGTGGTATGACGATACTAAATGAGATGTGGCACTGCAGGTATGAAAGGCAGTGGTATGACGATACTAAATGAGATGTGGCACTGCAGGTATGAAGGGCAGTGGTATGACGATACTAAATGAGATGTGGCACTGCAGGTATGAAAGGCAGTGGTATGACGTTACTAAATGAGATGTGGCACTGCAAGTATGAAGGGCAGTGGTATGACGCTACCAAATGAGATGTGGCACTGCAGGTATGAAGGGCAGTGGTATGACGATACCAAATGAGATGTGGCACTGCAAGTATGAAGGGCAGTGGTATGACGCTACTAAATGAGATGTGGCACTGTAGGTATGAAGGGCAGTGGTATGACGATACCAAATGAGATGTGGCACTGCAAGTATGAAGGGCAGTGGTATGACGCTACCAAATGAGATGTGGCACTGCAGGTATGAAGGGCAGTGGTATGACGAGTGCCTCGCAGAGCAGACTAGTGCCAGCACATGGTGTGCCACCGATGTCACCCCTGCTGGAGATCTCACTGAGCGCGGTGACTGCATTGTCGACTGGGGTGAGTTTGCACTCACTTGGGAACGAGCTATGGTGACTTTTTTTTAATTGCCCACATTGGGTGAGTATTTCGATCAACTGACTCAATTTTTTACTGCCTCTTTCTAGCACCTTCATTTTAGTCCTAATTTTAACTATTTGTGATTTATCGTTTCGGTCAAAATCAATTAAAGCCGAGATCTTCAATTTTAATCAACGGGCTCAATTTTTATACTGTCTCACTGACGCCATCACTTGAGTTCAGACTTAAACTCGTATTTGTAGCAATCATTGCGTCCAAATTAAATGATGCCTCAATTGAAGCGAAGAATAAAAACAGCTGTTTAGGCAACGTAATAATGAAGCACAATAAATCATTTAGTTTTGTTACCAATCAACGTAATAATGAAGCAGCAATGAAGCACGATGAAGCATTTATTTTAAATATTTGGCAATGTAAGGATGAAGTAAAAATAATCAAGCACGATGAAGGCAAAGGCAACGTAACAATCCTAATTAGCCCAGGTAATAATGAATTAATATTACCTCGCTCCGCTACAGGTCACTACCAAGACTACCTGACGCATGCGCAGAAGGTGTGCGCGTCGCCGTACAGTGTGGAGGGCTTAGCTCACTCAGGCTGTCAGGGCGAGCCTGGCTGGTGTGCTAATAAATTATACAATAATTATCGCTTTATGATATCTCTTGTTTTACATCACTGAAAAATATTTAAGTATGGGTAAATTATGTCTGCCTCATGTGAGTGCAGTTAATCATGCGATTAACTATCGTCTACTGAGAAATTACTTTGGTGCGTAATACATAGGCTGGTAATAATGAAGTTACCTACTCTTCAACGTGAGGTAATCTTTCCTCTTATTAATAATAATTGTGGATGGAATGGAATTTTGAATTTTCTTCAACAGAAATTAAAAAAAAATAACTTTAAGTTTCTTTGATGGAATTTTGAATTTCATCACCGTTTATATGAATGAAGATCTGAATTTATCAGAAATAATGGACATAGAATCAAAAGAGGGAGGAAAACTTTGTCCTCGTCTGAAATCTAATGACGAATTTCCGCTCATTTCTTCTGCTCAATTTCCCTGGTGGCTGCTGAATAAATGACGCCCCCCTCCCCCTCCCCTTCCCCCCCTGTCATGACGTCGGTTGTGCCAGACATGCGGTCTGGTCAGATGTGGGTGGATGACCAAACGATTATGGCACGTTTCTTTAAAACTACATTTCATTTGAGCAGAAGACACAACATCGTCGGTTGTGTCAGATGTTGTTTGATGACCAAACGATTATGATGCCACGTTTCTTTAGAACTACATTTCATTTGAGCAGAAGACACAACATCGTCGGTTGTGTCAGATGTTGTTTGATGACCAAACGATTATGATGCCACGTTTCTTTAAAACTACATTTCATTTGAGCAGAAGACACAACATCGTCGGTCATGACGTCGGTTGTGCCAGACACGCGGTCTGGTCAGATGTGGGTGGGTGGTGTAGGAGTTAAGTACACGTAGGAGTTAAGTACACGTAGGAGTTAAGTACACGTAGGAGTTAAGTACATATGTAGGAATTGAGTGCACGTAAGAGTTAAGTACACGTAGGAGTTGAGTACACGTAGGAGTTAAGTACTCATAAGAGTTAAATACACGTAGGAATTAAGTACATGTAAGAGTTAAGTACACGTAGGAGTTAAGTACACGTAGGAGTTAAGTACATGGGGGAGTTAAGTACACGTCGGAGTTAAGTACATGTAGGAGTAAGTACTCATAAAAGTTAAGTACACATAGGAATTAAGTACACGTACCAGCTTACGTACAGTTAGCGGCCTCGCCTGTGAATGGTTATTAAGCTTGACAATTAAGACGCTAGCCATTGGCTGATTGGCCATCCTTTCCATTATTACGTACTCTTAACCATCTTTTAAAGTAAGGCCCCTGATTTTGTTCTTGAAACAGCGTTAAATGTCATATGACTGGCCGACATGCGCCGACAACATGTGCCAGGCTGCTCATTATAGTAATCTGTTTTACTGCATATATACATTTAAATTTTAGCTGCTGATCATAAATTATCTCTTTATTATATGTTTATTTATGATGCTTTTGCAGATCTCTCCTTCGTTCCTCCCTGGCAACGAAAATGCGTCGACTCAGGTATGATTTGTCAGATTGCGGCAAGCGTGTTTAAAATTTTGTTCGTAATTATATAAAATTCTAATAAAGACATGATTAATAATCGGAATGGGTTGGAATTCATGTTTCGGATGAATAGATGTTCATAGGTCGGGGAAAGGAAATTTGGTTTGAGCGAAACTTTCGTGGGTTCAAGCCAATGTTTGGAATTTTGTGAATTATTGTTTGAGAATTGTATTTAGTATAAGTAGAACATGATTTTGCACATTGAAATGTAACTTTCTAGTCGTATTCTATTTAAGCATTAGAAAGGAATATTAATTTGAATTTTCGGTTCGGTTGTGAAGGTTACAGAGACGATGACGATGACAATTACAATGACGATGACAATGTTCGAGTACACGAGGGACTAGGCGACATGGTAGCTTCATCGTGCCGGTAACCAGAGGGCGCTATTCCTATTTTGTCGCGCTTCAAATCAATCTCTTCCTCAGACCTTTCCTTAATTGAAATTCTGCAACCTGGCTTAAAATTTTTACTGACGCATGCATGGCCTACGAATGGCCATCGTTAAGCTTGCCAAGATTTATAACAGGAATTTCTTCTCTTGAGCAATAGATTCAAACTTCCGGAGAAGCGAGCGAGTGTGTGCCAAGTGGACATTGTTTACGTTATACTGGGAGCGCTGCAGTTCACATCGAATTAATTTACCAAACGCCTTGAGTGTGATGAAGAAATAATTACTAGAATTGAAGTTATTTGTGGTAGACCAAAACGGGAAAAAATCATGCTGACGTGTGGATGTGTACTTACGAAATAGCTACATACAAATTTATGATTCGGAAATTTCATAGTCAAAAAATCTTCAGATAGTTTATATTATGAGGAATATCAGAAAAAGTTGAAATAGTTTTTGAATTGTTCATAAACACAAAACGGTGGATTTTCAAACGCCTGAGAACAAAATTGTGCTGCTGACTATAATAAACAAAAATATCGTTTTATTCTGTTAACAACTATTCGACGATTCTATTCTGTGTTGTCATGGGTTTATTTTTGGGCGCTCATCCCTGAAAAACACAAAGAGAACCGCGTTCATTGAAACGATCGCGTGATGAGATGGTATAGCTGTGATTCTGTGAACTAAGAAATGCGTGCTTCAGGCCGAGGTTTTCAATACAAATTGAGATCGGTTATTGGTTAGTCAAGGAAATGATCCACCGTGAGGTCGTTACGAACACAAATTATGTAAATTTTCATAACATAGACGAGGAGTTTCCAAACTTTTTATAGTTTGAACTTCATGGTTTTCCTCCTATGTAAATTGTAGGCCTTACCTGTACTTGAGCGTTCAAAGTCAACTATAAATTGAGACTGCTGTCTAAATCATTGCTCTTTAACCGACAATCTTCCGAGGAATTTGTAACAAAAACCAATCTCACGCATGGAGATTGAATTCAAACGTCAAAAAGTTCATTTAGAAAAGATCTTAAACAATTGAGTAAAGTGGAATAGTGAAAATAATAGTGGAATGAAAAAAATAGTGGATGCAGACCAGTTTTAAAACGTAAGGGACAAAGAATCCTATAGGTCACACAAATCTGCCATTATATAATCAAATTAGACAGGAGCACAATAACAGGACCAATATATTGGTCTTCCAATCAAATAATTGGTGATCTCACCATTTCGAGCTTATTTGAACGTTGCTTAATAATATCGGAGGAAAAGAATATTTTTCTAAGCGAGTTGGGAGAATCAACATCCCAAAGAATTTAATAATATGAATGCTATCATTTAAGGCTTTCAGCGCATCAAACAAACTAAGCATCTAAATTGTCACGAGATCGAAAAAATATCGAGGCTTGGTGATGGGAGTACACGCTTCGATTTGAAAGGCGACGAATAGGCGATGAAAATTAATCGTATTTCAAATGAAATCGTATAATCCTTTTGGAAATTCAATAATACCAATATACTGAGCTGTTGCGGCTGTATTAACACAACAGATAAATGGACCAATAATGCCATTGTAACGGAAATTATTATCTAATGAAATTTTTAGCAGATATGAACTCTAAGCAGTGCTCGAACATGGGTTGCATTGGAAAAAACGTGCAAGAAATTTCAAATCCTCCCATTTTAACTACGCGCTGAGGAAAGAAAAATTGTAAAATATTTTTCTGACACAAAATTTGGAATCTCGTTCTCACCGTTTGGCGCGAAGGCGCACAGCTGAATGTTGTGGCGTGCATCGAATATACGGTACGATAAATCACGTATATTTATTTAGCCAGTCTGACATTAAAATTACGTGACGTCATATCGATGTACGCTGATGCGTACTACAAACAATTGTACTTTTATATACCATAGAGGATCGCACTTGGGCACTAAGATGATTTTTAGGAATAAATTAGGAACCAATTAAAAAATTATTAACCTAAATACATTTAGTTAACGTTCGAAAAGTATTAGAGGAATACGATTTTCGATTCCGTGGACATAATATTTAAAGCAGGGCCAAAGTATAATGCATTTCCATGACTACTTTTACTATCATTCCTATCAACCCCAGGAAAAACTTCAGAAAATCATTTGACATTAACTTTCAGGTAAGCAAAAGTTGTGATAAAATACCATTTATAAAAATGGTTACGCAAACATTCTAATTCAAAATATATTACTTTAATGATGGAGCAAATTCGGATGACACGCTGTATTCCCAATTCAATTCGAACATAATGGATATAAATTGAAAAAGCTCGTGCTAAACCTGAAACGGTGATTTTTGGAAGACAAAAGCCTGAAACTGACATTTAAATTTAATTGTTTAGTGACCGAAAAATGTCACACTATTTTTGGATCTAGCTCCATCAGTGATTTTATAAATTCAAAAGGTTTCATCGACACTTTTGCAAAAAGTATGGGCGGAAAATCTAGCCGACAGTTGACCTGTCAAAAAATCTCGACAAAATATTTTAAAATATTTGCATGTACGACTTACATCCCGAACAATGCGACGTTCCTGTTCACGATAGTCATTGTAACAATTTTTCCACTTTCAGTGCATCAGATTTCAGGATATTTGAATCCATGCCCATTTTTCAATTGAAACCTTGTTCGAAAAGAATGTAGTTCTGATCGGTTTGGAATTGTCACTTCAAAGTTTTATAAGGTACTTTGAATTTTATCGGTTAATTTATGCTTTAAACTATATTTAACGCTAATACATGAAACAATGAATTGTTACCTTTTCCTTTACTATTGAATTCTTAGAAATACGAACTATATAACATCTTCTTTAACGTTCAAATGTGTCATGCAGCAAACGAATTGCCGACTTCCCTTTCTTGTAAAAAAATACCACAACAAATGTTTCACTGGGGATTAACTTGTTTCTTGGCATAAAAATTCCATTTGACAAGGACACAGACGTCACTCCCTGCAAGAAAAAAAACATGTTAAGACTTCCCTTTTGATGAATTTTGATGAATTCAGCAAATTGAATTGGTCTTCCGTCATGTCTGCTGGGAGCGAACAGGTGCGGGGGGAAGGGTTATAGACGAACAAACTTCGCGGAATAAGCCGGCAATATTTCCGCATGCAAGAAAAGTTATAGCTTACTAAGTCGAATTTTCTTTATATTGTAAAAGTATAGTCGTGGGAGAATAAAATTTGTTAATGAAATGGGTTTCTGCATGGGATGTAGGATACCAATGTTATGTTATTGATACCAATTCATATCTCTACAAAGTTTTATGCGCATCACAACGGGAGCTCAACGAGAAATTTTTGTGTGCATGAAATCGGTGAACAAGGTGAACCAAATAAAGTTCAGATAGAAAATACGTATGACCAGTTTAATATATAGTCGTATTTGAATAATGGTTGTAAATCCAGTCATTATGTTTTCCCACAATAATATTTTCAATATTACACTAATTGTCAATAATTTAATACAATTGTCAATCCAAAATGGCACCTACTTTGAAAACCGGCCGCAGAAGGGGTTAAAGGGATGTTCTTTTGGATTTGTATAAAGCAGTGCTAAAAATGAAAGATGATCAAAGTCGGAATTAATATTCATGCAGTAGGATTTTAATGAATCTCAATTTTTTGCAATCGTCGGACTCCTTAACATTTTTGCGTCTTTCCCTCGCTCAAAGTAAAAAAAAATAAACACCGTGTTTCACCATCAGTAATAGACAAGATAATTCATGTTTCCTCGTTATTTAAGGCCCAAAGGAGCTCGTGTCGAGGCAAGCCGTGGACGGGTCCCGCTGTGTGTTACCCTTCAAGCACCGAGGTCGGGTCTATCTCGACTGCGTGCAGCACCTCGACAGCGTGAGTTGTCATACGCGGACACCGAACTAGAATAAGGAACTCCAAACGTACCGAACTTCGGTAGCATGAGTGCCAAAGGGTACGCACACAGTGAAAGCAGGTTTGCCCGCGCGGGCAACCAGCTCCAACCTGCCACAAGAATGAACATAGGATAATAATGTAAGTGTTCACAGTGAAAACCTGTATGAATAGGCTTCTGTATTCTATGGTTTCAGGCGCTAGCCTGAGCAGGTAACCAGCACGCTGGCAACCTGCTTTCACTGCGTGCGTACCCAAACGTGGGTGCAGAATTGGAATGGGAATACGTCGAATTTCTTGCGTTCTGCAATTTATTGTACAGTCAGGGTGGGTCCATTTTTTCAAGTGCACTCAAAATGTGTAAAACTTTTTACACACGAATAATTATCAACCTAATAATTAGTTCTAATATAGATATTAAATATGTATTTCCATCTGGCACTCAAATTATTTTCGGCATATTATCAACCGTTATTTCCTCGTGAACGTTAATGGGGCTTTTTAAAAAGTAAAATTTTACAACAACTTTCCATCTCTGGAAATTATAACGTGATAGATCTTCCGAAGCTCTCCCCATTCAAATCATTGATCAACCTAATATGAATCGGAGTTTGCACCGAAAATTCCGTGCAGCGACGGCCAAAAATTCACGATATTCGGTTTGATGCCCGTTTTGATCGCCATTATGGCTTACTACGCGAAGTCTTTGTTGCCTTCAACAGTTCAAAGTCTTTATGCGACGCCGGTCGTATTACTAAGATACGAGCAAGCAAAACTTCGATAGCTACACTTTTAGAGGCCCATTCGACCAAACAGCATTCAGAATGTATCTAAAACTGTTTCCCTTTTCGCTAATCTTTGAACAAATATAAACTGTACCTTGCACACAAATTTTGCCAAAATTTTTTCTTCTAAACTTGAGAATATTTGAAAAAATAGCATTAACATCAGTGGTACTGAAGAACATTGTGTGCATAGTTCTAATATTTGCTAAGTACAGTCTTCATAACGTAGTGAAACTCCAGCGAAAGTCAGACCGAAGTTAGAACGTAAATGCCATGGAAGACGCCATCTTGGTTGCGAAGTTCTCGAAAGCTGTGGCAACGGCCAGCTTCTCTCGGGTGATTTGGTTTAACGTTCGACAAAATATCAACAAACGCTCGTGGCCCGATCTTTTGGTCCACTCTTAAGCATCGCGCTCGCCATGCAACATTTACACAACTACGCTTTAGCTGTGATGCCTTGCTATAGGTTGTGTGAATATGTCCTCATTCTCAGCTCAAGCATGTGCTTCAGACATCATGGAGTGGAACTGGAGGAAATTCATGAATGTTTCCTTGTTTATAAGTGTTCATTTTGGCCAAGTTTAGTAATTACAGGATGAATCCAACTGTGAGAAAGACCTACCAGCAAATTTATCTGTCGTTTAGCGGATGGGTTGCATGTATTAGTCAAAAATTATTATTGTAATTCGCTTTATTTACCAAGATCTCTTCTCATATGAGCTTGAAATGACGCAGAAATACGGTCACGAGTCCTGGTGCGCTGTGACGGTGACGAGAGATCTTGAGGTGCTGCGCTGGAAGCACTGCAAGAGGCACGAGTACTGTGAGTTTTTGCAGTGATTACAGTGCAAGCTTTTGGTACGCGCTGTTGCATTTGTTGTTCAGTACCTTAATTTGAGGGATTAGGGATTAGTGTTGAGGGATTTGAGGGATTAGTGTTAATAAAATATTAAGGTACTAAAAGACTCAATATTTTGAATTAATATTTTGGAAAAAGTGATCAATTCTTATGATTTCTGAGTGCATAATTGAAAGACCGCGTTTGTAAGAAAAAAATCCGGCAAAAATGTCTATTTTTTCGGCAAATGTCCTTAAACTTGGTTTATTTTTCTTTTCAACAGACAACTCGTGCGAAGGACTAAAAAGTAAGTGTGCCTATTAGATCCAATTTAATTCACTCTTCGAAAATATAAAATTACTAGTGCCATGCTCAACATTGTGTTAGTAACCTCAATGATGTTTCCCATTTGACTGAATGAATTATCACTGGTGACCAACATTACTAATTTTTCGCCGTTTGTCTGTCATCGTGCTAGGAAATTATCATCTTCATAGTAAACTATCATCGTCCTAGTAAACAATCATCGTTATAGTAAACTATCATCGTCATAGCAAACTATCATCCTCCTAGTAAACTATCATCGTCCTAGTAAACTATCATCGTCCTAGTAAACTATCATTGTGCTAGAAAATTATCCTATTGTTAGGGAATAGTTTGAATTTATTCACATATCTTAGCAATAATTATTCCAATTTCATTTAGATTTCACCGTTCCGCAAGTTAGGTTTTGAATACTTTCAGAATTTTATTCATTCATGTTTGAGTTACGCGCTGGTAATTCCTGCCATCTGGCACAACGCAATTGTACAGGCGTGTTTTACCAAATACATTGTGAACTCAGTGCTTTATCTCAACTGAACCTTTTCACGGCCGTATTGAGATACAGTGAGAAAGCGGTAGTCTCCCAGCACTATTCTGTCGAACAGTCGTAAAAGTTATGTATATCTTTCCGGATTTCGTTCGTTGGCATTTCCTTCTCGTTTCGAGGCGCCGGTCTCTTGTAGTTTCCCCTTGAGGGAAGAACAGCCTTAGCGTGTAGCATCGAGCAGTTGAGAATTCGCACGAATGTAATGAATGAATGTTCAGCAGCGAATGTTTTACATTCGCTACTGAGTAGCGAATGTTTTACATTCGCTACTGAATGTAAAAGGATTGCCTGTCCACAAAATACGATTACCAACCGGAATTTTTACGATTAATTTTTTAAAAAGTCTTGTTGTGTTTTGTTTGTTGATATTTTCAACGATGGTTTTTTTGTTGACTGAAATCTGTGAACATTCATGCAGTTAGTACTGATATAGGCGTATAATTTAATTAAATTTAGTGGAGCTTTTCTATTTCTTAGGAATATGGCAATAAACGAACAGTGATCAAATTTGATCTCGCAGAACTTTGATGAGTTAAAGTTAGCGCAAAAAATATATACATTAAGAAAAATCTACATATATACATAAAGGAAAAAATAAATCCAGGAAATTCTATATTTAATTGTTAAAACGAGCAAAAACTTACGCTAAGTTTCTTCTAGTGCTTTCTATTACGAACAACATCATGACCAAACAACAGCGCCTGTGCGTGTTGCCCTTCACGCACCAAGGCAGAGTCTACTACGGCTGCGCCCCTAAGAACAGCACTGAGATGCTTGGCGATAACGGTGAGTTTTTCGAGGCTCTCAACATTCATTCATAGCAAAAACATACTTTTACCATATTTAAAGTTAGGTTAAAAGTTAGGTGAAGATGGGTTTGGACAATTCATGGTAAACTCGTTGATTTTAAATAGTTTTTAATTTGCACCTTTACTACAAAAAAATATAAGTAAATTTTTACCAGTTTTAAATTACTCTACTTCAGTGCTATACTTAAAATGACGCATTATTTCAAGAGATATCTATGCACCACGTGAGTATTTGTTTTGCTGTTGTTCCGCAGGTTGGTGCGCCACTGCAGTGAACGAGAAAGGTGAAGTCAGCGAGACCGGCGACTGCCCCCTCATGACAGGTGAGTGCAGCGCCGGGGCCAGGCGTTTCATCTTGATAATACGGGGCCAGGTTTAGAGTGTTTATAAAATAGAAAAGCGTTTATAAAATAGAAACATGAACGTTTAGAGTGTTTATAAAATAGGAACTCGAAGGTTTATAAAATAGGAACTCGAAAGTTTAGAGTGTTTATAAAATAGAAACTCGAAGGTTTATAAAATAGGAACTCGAAAGTTTAGAGTGACAGACAGACGGACAGACAGACAGACGGACGGACAGACAGACGGACGGACATGACGAGCACAATAGGGCTTTTTTCCATAAATGAGAAAATGTGCTAAAAAGAGGAAGCTTAACATGTACTGTATGACTCTAATTTACTTAGTAATATTTAGGGCTAGGCAGCTATGAATATTAGATGCGGAATTACTGACCATTTGTATAAAATATTTTCTTTTAATTCGTTCTGTGGATTTTTCCATTCCACGTGGGAGTTTATAGATGACTGTAATTCCAAAAAATAAGATCATGGCCTCACCAGCATGAATAGATCGCTTCGCACTCCCAAATAACTGACGCAAATCAAGGCGAATGAGGACGACCAATGTTAGAGTTTGTCCAAATAAACAATGATTACATTCCGACTAAATAAATGATTACATAAATAAATAGCTAAGAAACTGTGCATATTGGATGCATCACTTAAACCCGGTTAAACTATCCATTAATAATTTATGAAGCCGAAATGACTTCTAGTTTATCTATCAATCCTTAAACACTACCTGCAATGTATTCATACTATATCCTATCTCAGTGAGATAGTTGTCTGAATATCTTTACTTTATACTATTTTTGAAAATATCCAAATATTTTCATATCAACCTTTTTCAAAAGTAGCATTGCTAAAATGCGTCACTATTCACCTCAGTAATCTCCAGCTTAACTATAATTCTTATGTTTCAGACGCTTCGGATGAAGACATATTGATAATGGCGGAAGAATGTGAAGGTGAGTGTTATTTAACGTGTTAATTCAATTAAATAAGCCTTAAACAATTTAATTTAAATTTAAAACTATACCCAGTAGTACAGCATGCGCGTGATAGCAAATTTGTCGTCAATAATAAATAATTTAGGATTAGCTCGATGAATTTAATGTCAAACTATTACTTGCAATAGCTGTGTAAAATCACTTCTGAACTCGCTTATACATTTATAATTTCTGTATTAAGATGTATTAACTGCATATTTAAAAGTTCAAGGGCAAATAATTATACAGGAGTAAATGAAGTCAAATATATAATCAAGTTTTTACATGTGAATGAAATTGAATGAAAGGGTCACATTTAATATAAGCACAAGAGTTGTAATGTGAAGATAATGTAATGTGCTAAGAAGATAAACCCACACATCATGCGGTGTTAATTAATCTTGAAATCTTGATGTTGTCAACTCTTGTTATCTTAATTATATAAATCTGATAGACAAGAGGATAGAAAATTTTATCATAGGCGAATTTAATGGAGCAGATGCAAGTCTGTAATTACTTGCCAAGATGCCAAGTGTCAAGTTCGTGTTCAAGTTCAAGTTCATGTTGATAAAGTGCCATCTTCTTTTATTAATATGTTACATTTCCTTTGAAATAATAATGAGCAATTTCTTCGATAATAAAAATAGACATTTTCTTTGAACAATGCGTGGCTCAGAAGCTTTTTCATCATAAATTTAAAGTGGTACAATATTTGTCATTAGTATTTATTTCAGTAGTTTGTCATGCATTCAAATCCTGGATATTTTTGAGCAAAAGACACGATGTCTTCAGTAATAACGTCGGTTGTGTCAAATGTTGGTTGATGACCAAATGATTATGGCACGTTTCTTTAAATACTACATTTCATTTGAGCAGAAGACACAACATCATCGGTCATGACATCAGTTGTGCCAGACACGCGGTCTGGTCAGATGTTGGTTGATGACCAAACGATTATGGCACGTTTCTTTAAATACTACATTTCATTNTTCTTTAAATACTACATTTCATTTGAGCAGAAGACACAACATCATCGGTCATGACGTCGGTTGTGCCAGACACGCGGTCTGGTCAGATGTGGGTGGGTGGCGGGGACAGTTACGGCACGCGCTGCATTGTTCCCTTCGTGTTCGAGAACTCCACCTACTGGGACTGCACCAGGGCGGGTACCACGGAGGACGAGGACGCCTGGTGCGCCGTGGAGGTTGACGAACTCCGCAACGTCGTCAGGAGGGAGAAGTGCTCGCCGGGCCGTTGTGAGCGAAGGACACCAAAATTGTGAATTGTGTTACGAGCAATGATAGCTACGAATATAACTGACACTCGTAGTGACTATTCCATATAAGGCTCCAAAAAAGAAAATCCGCAAAATTCTCATTACAAAAGTTTTTAGAGGAAAATATTTTAGATTAAAATACAATAATTGATGCCATTTGTTATACGTGCGATTTATTACATGACTTAAGTGGAATTTATACTTTCAATGCATGTAATGTGTCTCCTTATGAACTAGATTATAAATTCCACTGAAGTAATGAGTCTTCTCACTAAGCAATAATAATATTAAGGCCAGCTACACATGTAATATACGATTTCCCTAAGCAATAATTTATCCCCGACACACGCGTAATGTCTCGAAGCACTAATTTATCCCTGCTACATTCATAAGGTCTCATTTCCTTAAGCACTAATTTATCCTGGCCACACGTGTAATGTTGCATCTCCTTAAGCACTAATTTCCCCATTATGCACGTAATTTCACAATGATTTTCCTTTCAGATACGAAAGAGAGCTCTGACGTTAAACACGTGGCGTGGGACAAAGACTGGCTGCTGGGTGAGCTTTATAAATAATTGCTGTTGATTGCATTGCCTTATTACCGCACCGCATTCAAAGTAAACTGTCTTTCCGACTGATCATTGCACTGCGCTCTTGGGAAGAAATCTTTCTATCAGATCATGACACTAATGTTGAAACATAATTTCCGGCTTTTAGTAGAGTTTTAATATGTAAAGAGATCGAACAATTGCCTTGGATGATTATGTTTCTTTGATATTTGATAAAGAAATTTTCTTAAATGCTAGTTGGAAATGTCATGATGAAGTGATACAAGATCAGAAATAAAAATTTCTAGTTTTTCACTTTGTTCGACAGTGAGAATTACTAGCATTTAATTTGATACTAAATATTATGCCACTATTCTCAAAGGTATTAACATGATTGTAGCTGAAATCTGAACGGCTTCGGTCAAAGATATCCTTCTATACTGGGGCGTATCATAAATAATATTAAAGGAGCCCGATTACCCTTATAAACCTTAGGAGCCCCGGATGGGGCTCCCGATTACCTTAGGAGCCTGTGCCTCTCGGGGGGCCAAATTCCCGGACCTGGTGCGAGCCATTTTTAGCGAATTTTCTCATTTATCGAAAAAATGCGCTATTGTGCTCGCAATGTCCGTCTGTCCGTGATTTCACGTTTTCGTCAACGAGAAAATGCGCTCTCTGTCACTCACTGCATTGAGTCTTGAGTTATATTTTTTCGGCTCGGCGGCGCCCCCATGGGGGGGGGGGTGAGTCGCTGCAGCCGGAGGATTTCTCTTTGTCGCTGGGGGGGGGGTTCTTTAGTTCTCTTGGTCGTTCCTCCAATACTCCGCTGCAGCCCGTCCAGTTGACCCTGTTACCGTCGTCCTTCTTCTCTTGATGGTGTGGGTATCCACCCCTCCACCCCGTCCTTGATATCCCTCACCCTTGTGGCGTCTGCGGGCGCTCGGTCACCTGGCGGGGAACTTCCTTCCTGTGTAATTGCTGTAAGCTCTGGGTCCATAAACGGTGCTCCGGTCTCAGCAGGACATACCAGTACTGCCACACCTGGACTTGCCCCGGGTGTATTGCTACTCCATCCTCCCCCACACACCACTTCCTCAATCAGGTCACTCCCACCAGGCTCCCGTCACAAGGAATTCCATCTTCACCCGACCTCACCCTCATCAGTTCACATCTGGTCCTAAAGTCTAAACGCTGTCTGGACCTCGCTGACCCACCTCAACTCCGACCATCTCCCATTTCTATCTCCCTAGACTCCATGAGCACTCCAATAATCGTCACCCCCGCACCTACATCAACTCCTGACCGGCAGATTGAGATGCCTACACTGCCGACACGGAAGCCGCTTTCAGGGCTGCTGCTCCCACCTCTCCCTGATCCCAGGAAGAGATCCTCTTATGAGGATTCTCACCTTGGCGGTCAGTCGACACATGCCTCGTGGTTATAGATAGGATTTTATTCCCAATTTACCACCATCAGCCATCCCTCTCATACAAGAACGGGATAGGACCCGTGCTCTGAACCCCTACCACCCCAGCCTTCCGGTCCTCAACAACTACATCCCAGCATACATTTTCACACACTCCCGCACAACCTGGATCAAGGAGGTCCTGTCAACCAGCCTGCAGACAAACCCCTCCAAATTCTGGTCGCTCCTACGCTCCCTCTCCGGCCAGTCAACCAGACCGTCCCCCAACTAACCCATTTCCTTCAATAATTCCCATGCCACTGCAGACCATATCATAGCCTCGTCCTGTTGCCGCCAATTTACGTTGGTTCTCCCAATATCAACGTGACCCCTCCTGCAGGTCAACTTACAGAGGCATCAAGCGCCGCAACCTTCCCTCCGACACGCCTCTCATGTTCACTGCGGATCAGACCGGACGGGCGGTATGGAGCTCTGGTACCTCCACCGCCACTGGCCCGGACTCCCTAACTATCCTCAACTTCCGTCGTCGGGAGGGGTCTGACCTTCACTCTGTCGGACTCCGAAGATCTTCGGGATTACTTTTGACCTTCACTTCACCTTCTCTTCACACATTGCCGCAATATATCAGAGCCCGCCTGGGCCTCAACATGCTGAAAACACTTGCCGGAACCAGCTGGGGACAGCAGAAGGAAACCCTCCTTGTGACTTTCAAGGCCCTCATTAAGTCCCTCATCACCTACGCTGCCCCAGTGTGGTTCCCTAACGCCTCTCCTTTGGCAATCTCTAAGCTGCAAACCATCCAAAATTCTGCTCTCCGCATAGCCACGGTATCTCTTCAAATGGCCTCCGCTTCGCACCTGCACAGTAAAGCTGAGGTTTTACCCGTGGCCGAACACCTCTCTGTCCTCTGCTCACAGTACCTTGCCAGCGTCCTACGACCGCACCATCCCAGCTACCTTATTGTCACCCAGACATCGGGGCCCCGTTCCATGAAGCACGCGTTTCAGACCCGCTTCCTACCTTACGTCTCACACTTGCTGGAGGTGGGGTCCTTCCCCCTTGACTCCTACCCCGTTGCCATCAGCACCCAACACGGCTCTGCCGTCTCCTCCTCAGCAGCTCCTAGCAAGGTGTTGCTGATCCCTGCCCCATCTATCTCATCCAGCGAACTAGCCCTCCCCAGAGCATCCAGAAGCGCCCTTTCCCAGCTACGCTCTGGCTACTCACCGCGACTTAATTCGTACCTTGCCGTGGCGCAATGGATCATACCACCATCACCTCTTCAGCTGCCCAACGCACCCCACCTCGCTAACCTCACTGGACCTCTGGTCTAACTCTGGACCGACTGAGGCATTCCTCTCATCACTCCCATCCTTTTCTAACGTCCTTGGAGTGGATCCTCCGCTCCCTCCTCCTCCCCCGGAGCCGCTGCCTTTACAGGGGGCGCCGCCGAGCTGCAGACCCCGGCAACTAACAACAACCCTTAAAAATACTGTGTTATTTATGCCATTCTTAAGCAGTATCACACAATTTGGGTTGGGCATCGTTTGTCAGACATTATTTTATGCAGCTAGATCGTGACCTTAATTTCAGTCAAATTATAATACACCCTAATTCTCAGTTTGAAATTTTCTGACCTCTGTCGGCCGTATTGCATGCCGAATTCGTCAGTGAGGTGCAATGCAGTTTTAAATTATCGTATAAGATAGAATAAATTCCAAGTACCAATCAATGATCAAAATAAAGGTCTTGGTATTAGCATGGATGCAGAATCTTGGTATTAATATTAATATATTCTCTACATCTTTCACTAATCCAAATTAATTGAGTTATCGAAGGCCGCATAATTCTCTCAGACATGCGCGACGCGCTGCTGGGCTTCGGCAACCTGCGCTCCAGCGGCGACGAAGGTGAGCTCGTCACTCAAAGTCCTCTAAAAAATATAAGTCTTCGACTATATTTGGAAATGCAAAGTTTTAGTGAATTTTGCTGAATTTTGAATCACTGAATCACAGCTGAATTTTACCGTAAAAGTCCTTGTGACGATAATGTATTTGATTATTTCGTGTAATTTGAAAAGACCTAAATCTGGTAATGACATATTGAATCAGATATATTTATTACCTTGAATTAATGAAAATTTAATCCATTAATTTTAGCCATCTTATCATAATATGTAAGGGGTTCAGGTGACAAAGTCGTAGTTTTTGTAGAATTTTAAACCATATCTCATTCAAGTCATAGATTCAGCAATATATTGGCATAAAACAAAGGAGAAACAACATAGAAATAGACAAAAATATTTAAATGGTCGGAAAAATTATATCAAAGACAGAACTTAAGCGCAAATGTCAACTCAATTAACAAAATCAACTTTGCAAGGCTGAATAGATGTGAACGACAGATGCGTGCGCATCATATTTTGCAGTATTTGTGCAGAATCTGCTCTACTACAAGAACCTACATACATTCACATCAGCAGCAACGTATTCCGCCATGTTTACTCTAGCCTTTATTCACAAAAGAGTTTGTGTTTGCGACAGAAGTACAGCGCATTGACACAGTCTCCGGCAAGGAGTGCGTCTTCCCATTCAAGCTGCCGTCCACAAAGCAAAGCCACTCAAGCTGCGTGTGTCCAACGGGAAGCTGTGAGGGGACAAACAGGCCTGTGTGTGCCACCGAGGTGGATGAGCTGGGCTACATGACTGCATCCGAGCCTTGCAGGGGCATCCTAATCCGTGAGTGACAGTGATGAATTGCATCAACTTGCCATGGCCGGTCACCCAAGCCAGCTAAACAAAGCCCGGTTCCTTTAGCTGATTGCAAGCGATCTTCCCTTTGCAATCCGGCGATTAAGTCGTCCTGTTGTTCTTGTAACGTCCAGGCAGTTGCAAAAAAAATGTCGGGGAAAGTAGTCAGGAATCCGTCTACGAAATGAATCACCATCTATATGCGTACTTAGTGCTAGCAGTAGGACGTCTCTTGGAGTCAATTTATTGCATTTAGTATGTAAATAAAGCTGTTCATTGGAACAAGTAGTAAACTTAATTTTTTCCGTTGTTTCTTGAATGGAAATGTGTGAAAACATTCCGTGCAAAATACGGTCACACAGCAAATAAGCATTGTTATTTGATCAAATTCGTTTGAAACATGATACATTATTACCATCGCACAATAAACCTATAATTATATAAATAGTTCACTCAACTTACTACTTCTAAGATAAGGTTTCGGGAAGCTCTAACTTCCACTCATCTTTCCTACCCGTCCAGGCAAGGAGAACTTCTTCGACCAGCTCATATCGACGTAAGACAACTTCTGCTCCACCTCTGAACTGCGCGTCTGAGGCTCCAAAATAAGACTTGATGCGCTCAGAGATAGAAACAAGACATTATATAAATAACGATGAAATTATTGCCCGTGTGCAGGTCATCCTACCCTAATTTAGGCCTGCAAAAGGGCATATCTGTGCTTTGTACGCTCTTTGCTCTATTTGGACAACATTACCCATTAGTTTTACCCAGTGCCACACAATAAAATAATTGTCTTGTGACAAACTTGGCACAGTTTCTTTATGTTTCAATTTCAAATCTTTCTTCATAAATCTTTATTAACTCATCTTTCAATTATACCTACGGATACATTTTCTCGTATAATATTTTGGCGCTTGTGCTGTGGATGTATACGAATTTATTAAACGTTCAGCTATACGTTTCGTTTTGCCTGTGTGACATCTTTTCTCGA